GGACCCATCTCCTGTGGCTGGGGCCTGGGCTCAGGGACAACGGGGTTTCAAGGAGCCTGGACTGCTGTCCCTTCCCTCCAGCCATGGCTGGGCTCTGAGTGACAGATGCTGACCAGAGTTAAATCCGCGTGGGAACAGGTCCTCCTCACACCCGTGGGGCCCTTTCACCAGCGCCACCCGCAGGGGCGGCAGGGGCCCAGGTGCGTGTGGCCCAGGGCTGGTGTGAGCAGAGCCAGAAGGAGACCCCTGTCTGCAGAACTGCCTCTCCCAGCTCTGCTCCCACGTGGCCCCGCCCTGTCCCTCACCCCCTGCCTCAGGCCAATGCCTCTTCCCCAAGTTCACGTTCTGATTCCTTCCCGGGCTCAGGCTGGGTGGGAAGGCTGAGGCTCTGAGCAGGGCCCTGCCCACCCAGCAAGCAGAGCTGTGGCGAGGGCGGAGGCCCCGCAGCAGCCATGGGAGGGCTGAAGCCCAGCAGTTCCAGAGGAGGCCTGGCCCTCTGCTGCCACACACAGCTCAGGGGAGAATGGCCTCATGTCAGGGCCTTCCCCTCCCACAGAATGGCAGGTCAGCCCTCAGCTCCTACTCCGCTGCCTTCCCGTGCGGCGGGCACACCCACCCTCCGGCCTCTGGGCACTTTGTGAAGGAGACTTCTCACCTGGGCCAGTCTTTCCTGGCCGCTGCCCGTCCCCGCACAGCTGGGCCTCAACACAGAGAAAGGGGCTCGGCGGTTGTGCCAGACTGGGTGTGTCGTGGGCTGGTCCAGAAGCTGCCAGCCCTCCAGGGTCAGCACCCTCCCCATGGGCACCGGATGTGTCCCTGCCTGGGTGGCCGGCCCTGGATGCCAATGTGAGGCTGAGGGACACAGCCTGGACCCTCGTTCTCTGGTGCGAATTAGTCCTGCTACGTCCCTGCTTTCAGGGTCTCGGTGGTGAAAGAGGTCCCCCCCCCCCCCCACACACACACACAGGTTGTCAGGAACACTGAGTGTGTTTGAAGGGAACACACTTGCTCACCTGTGTGCCTTGTCACCATCAGGTTCACACCTGGCCCTGGGTGTCTCTGCGCATGTCCCCACTCACCTGCTGTTTCTGCCTTTGAGTCATTGTTTGGATGAACAGTTCCCAGCAGGAGGCAGAACCTGGGCTGCCCCCACCTCAGAGCCCTGGGAACCCCGAAATCTCCCTGGAGCCTGTACACAGGGTCTGACTGGAGGCCCATCACTGCTTCAATCGTGGGGGAGGCCAAGTCCACGGCTACATGGAATCCTGGAGAGATTGGCACATTAGCGTCTGTAAATACTAAGCTGGGAGCAATGGCAAGAAAAGGGAAGAAGTGTTTCCTATTTCCCTTCAGCCAACCCTCTGTATCACAGGAAACAAACTTGACAGGACCCCCTGGAGGGCGGGGCATCAGGCAGGGAGCAGGATGGGCTCCTAGTGACTGAAGTGGAATCTGTGGAAAGAGCAATGCCCCTCCCTTCACTCCTCCAGGGAAATCACGATGCTCAACCGAGAAGGGGCTCCCTGTGTCCCCCTGTGCTCAGAGCTCCCTGCTGCTCCCCTTCCAGTAGCTCCCGGGGTGATATTGTAATACCCTGTCTCCCCGAAAATAAGACTGTGTCTTATATTAATTTTTGCTCCCAAAGATGTGCTAGGTCTTATTTTCAGGGGATGTCTTATTTTTCCATAAAGAAGAATACGGTACACATTTATTGTTAAATGAAAATAAAGGAAATTTATTACCTATATACAGTACGGGGGTACTGTAGTTGACAACACAAACCAGTTAAACCGTGAATCCTACAGTATCAAGAATTTACTCATTTATTCAATGACAATCATGTCGTCATCTTCTGGAACATCATCATAACAATGCAATTCCTGAATTTCCTGGTGAATTTCTTGTGACTCCATTTCTTTCAGAATCAGTGGACCAAATCTCTCATGTTTAGCAATAGCATTCTGAGACAGAGCCTGGGGGGTGGTGGAGCTTATTTTCGGGGGATGCCTTATATTTCACTCAGAAGGAAACCTGTAAGTAGGTCTTGTTTTCGGAGGATGTCTTATTTTAGGGGAAACACGGGTAGTACCTCCTCCCTTAGCCTGGGAGCGAGTTCCTTTCCCCATTTTTCTGTGGGGAAAGTGGGATTGGGAGGTCAGGACTGAGGGCAGGTCACACAGCAGGAAGTGGGACAGCCTGGGAGGCATCTTGCAGGTGTGGTTTACTTACTTTGTGCTGTCATTCCCTGCACTGCGCCTGGTCCCCTCCAATTCAACTTTCAAGCCCCTGTTCAGTCATCTCTTTAACCAGTCTTTTCTTACAACATCCTTCCTCCCTTGCTTCCCCTCCAGGTTGGATGTCCTTCTCACCTGCTCCCATACCACCCACAGTTGTCCTCTGTTCACATTGTCTGTGAACTTCCTTTCTCCCTAAAGGCAGGGCAATGTCTGCCTTCCCTCACTCACGCTCGAGGCTTGATGGAGCAGCAAGGATACTAGTATTTAGGTTTTCTAATTCATGATTTAGTCTAGAAAGGTTATATACTTCTAGGAACTTATTCATGTTTTCTAGGTTATAAAATTTGGTGGCATTTGCTCTTTCATAATATTCTAGCATTTTCCTTTGTGTATCTGTGATGTCTGTGGTGACTTTTCCTTTCTGATTTTGCTTATATGGGTCTTTTCCTTTTTTACTTTAGTGAGTCTAGACAGGATTACCGATTTTCTTAAAATTTTCAAAGAACCAGCTCTTTGTTTTATTTTTTTGTTTAGCCTTTTTTTCTCTATTTTATTTAATTCTGCTCTAATTTTTATTATTTCACTTCTTTTGCTGACTTTTGGTTGTTTTTGATATTTTTCTAGTTCTTTAAGATGTCATGTTAGGTTGTTTATGTGGGATTTCTCTTGTTTCTTGAGATAGGCCTGTAATGATATAAACTTCCCTTTTATTACATCTTTCACTGAATCCCAGAGGTTTTGATATGTTGTATTGTCATTCTCATTTGTCTCTCTATATCTTTCATTTTTATCTTTAATTCAAACGATGAAAGAATAATCACTTATTTGAACCCCATTAAGATAGTCACTTTGAACTTTTCCCTAGTTGATCCCATTTTGTTCTGATTAATAAACTCAACCAGCATAGGTTGCACTGTAAAAAAGATCCCGTGGAATGTTAGCTGATGCCATGACCATATTCCATCATTTTATGATTCAGTGACTTAAGGGAGTAGAAAAATTTATAGTTATACACTTGTTAATTATGGGGAACCGATGGCAGGATTACTTTTGATTGAAATAAATAGGCACCCCCCCCCCCCATGTCAGCCATGCTCCCCTTAGAGAAAGGCCCGAGGCCATTCTCCCAATAAAGCCTCTGGGAGACTAACCCAGTGATCCACACCAGACAACTGTCATTAAAAGAGATTTTACCAAGGCAAGGGCACCTGGCTGCCTGTCAGCAGTGAGAAGTATGGAGTCTCTCAGAGTGCACCTTTTGGAAAGTGCTGGATACATATGTGAGGCCTGTTATTATTTCTTACAATACAAAGGTGGAAGGAATGACACTGCCTTCCGTTCAGAGGGTAAGCTCTCTTCCTGCTTCAGGTATAGTTGGGAGCGGGGAGGGCAGCTACACTAGGAGCAGAGCACAAAGGGACCCCACCCCTCCTGGGCTGCAGCCCCCGTTCTGAGGTCCCTTCCACCTTCCCGTGTGCCAAGTCCTGTCTGATGGCCTCTTTAAGACTTATGTGATGGCAGCTGGTCTCAGCCTTCTGAGTCCCCATCTCTCCCCCGGAGCAGGCTCGGTGGTTCATGTGTTTCTGTGAAGGTTACCATCCTGGGAGTGACATCTGAATTCCCTCGTCCTGGCTTTCCACGTGTCCTTAATCATCCTTTCTAGAATTCAGGAGGTGAGGGTGTGCGGGCTTATTAACTATTGTGAGGACATTACCCCTCTGTTTGGCCCTAGAGGTGGTTTCTTTAGGTCTGTGGTCTGGAAGCGGGAGCAGGTGAAGACCTGGGGTGCAGCCCTTCCCCCAACCCCAGGCTGTAGATGGCGGTGGGACCTCAGGGCTTCTCGGTCACTGCACGGTTATGAACACTCTGTGCCACTTTGCCTTCTTCCTTGGATCTAACCTTTCCATTCTTTTCCCACATTCCACCTGAGGTTCATGGTATCCAACTGTCAGATGGGGACCACATACAGTCATGCTCCATTCCGTCCAGCCAGAACTCCTTCCCTGGGATTTACACAGAGGGAGGCAGGTGACCTGTGGCCATGGCCACTCACTCATCTGGGGCAGAGGTGAACTCAGCCCTCAGCAGACTCCCTGTCACTGCCTTCTGTCCACGCGGAGTGAAGAGTGCCTTCCTCGCTGGGCTCTAAGTGTGGGGCAGGCAGGGGTGTGGGAGGGGGAGCTGTATTTTATCCAGGCTAAGCTAAGAGGGGTTCACAAGGCCATCTCCACCGCAGTCTTCATCAGGGAGAGAAGGGGTCTTAAGGGCAGATGCTATTAATTTCCACCAAGAGCGTGCTTCTGAACTCAGGGCCCAGCAACCTCCACACCACTACACCCACCCCCACACTTCCATCCACTTTGCTCTGATACTTTCTGGAGCCTGAGTGGGATGCCCAGCCTGTGATCTCCCTATAAACCTGTTCCCTAGAGCTGCATAAAGTTCAAAGTAGAGAGGAAGCAGGAGAAATTGGGTTGAACCAGATCCTGGGGTGGGTCTTTCTGGACTTTTCTCTTCTTGTTTTAGAGCTTTTGCTATGTAGTGACATATTGTGAAAACACACAGTGAAAGAACTTGAGATAAGCTTACAATGCCAGTCAGTCTCCCTCTATGCCCCTCCCTTCTAGAAGCCAAAGTGTACACTGAGCACCACAGACAGACGCCACTGCACCAACTCTTAGGAGGAAACCAACATATATTGAGGAAAATTAAATATTATGAATGTGCTGAGAAAATGGACTGATTTTTTTCATGGAGACATGCTTATGGTCGACCAGACAAGACACCCACTGGAAAAAGACAGAGCCTCGGGCAGTGCTGATGGTGGCCCAGGGCATCTGGCCCCTTTGGCCCATGCTGGCAGGATCTCACTGAAGACAAAGATTTCTTGGAGGCCAGGAATGTGGGGCGACTCAGGCCCAAGGGCTCATCATTGAATTTGCTGCTTTTCAAGCACTCTGTGTGTCTGACTCGCCCTTTCCTCCTGGAACAACTCTGATTAGAGTTGGCCTGGTGCCTGCAGGCTGTGTGACTCATCACTCCCCCTTTCTCACAGAAAGGAAGCCTGTGGTAGCAAACATACCTACACACTGGGGTATTGGGTTCCTGTTTGTGCTCACTTAATGCTGTGGTACCAAGTCCCTGGTGAATTTTCTCCTCGAGAATCTGCCCTACAGTTGTTATGAGTGTCTGAGCCTCAGGGATCTTGCTTCCCATAACTGATATGCTTTTGCCTGGTCCTTCATTCTGGACAGTAGCTGAATTGAGTTTGTAGTGTAGTAGAGCATCCTGACTTTTGGGTTTTTTATTGGGGAAAAAACCCTGAGAAAAGAGCTTCATTGTTTGTCTGAAGAAACTTTCTGAAGGACCCTGTTTCTTCTCTGGCTCCAGATAGGGGTATTGCCTCTCAACAGAGTCCGCTGTGTCCTTAGCTTTGGCAGAGGGGGTCATTCTAATAGTATGAGAAGTCCCCAATTTTTCAGGCCCATTTGCCTGCTCTCTTGTGTTGGGCCTCCTACAATTCTCTCTCATGTAGGTAGGGGCAATCATTTGTCTCTGATTCTTCCACGAGACCTGCATATATATTCTGGATTCCTGCTTCCCTTGGCTGCTCCTTTGGGGTGTCTTAAGGCCACATAACATATGGGACGCTGGCCTGACTCCAGGGGGCACTCTTTGGGAGTGGCGATGGTGCACCTTGTCTGCAGCAGGAGGCATGTGTGTGTTACTGTCTTGAGGTTGGTTCTTTGACGGTACCTGCACTATAGACTTAAGTTCATTAATGACCTCTTTGTTAAGGCATGGCTCTCCTCGTTCTTGGAGAAAAGATGTTCTAGGGACTAGGGAGTCATTACTGGTCCCTGGAGATTCTACACTCTTCAAAGGTGCATTGATGTTTTGGGATATTGTCTGTACATTGGTTCGCAACTCTGCTTGAAGAGCAGGGGACACACTGGCCTCCATTGTCTCCTTGACCTCTTTGACCCTCAAAGATTGGGATATTAAGTTCATCACCTGCACAGATATGCTATTGAAGGGCTCTTGTGAGGCCCCACCCCTGTCCTTCCCTCTTGGATCATTCCTGGCCATGGCTGAACCTGGACTGAGATCTAGACTATCCTGCTTAGCCCACTCCATAGCCTTACTCTTCCAGGTGAGTGAGACAGACTGAGATGGTGGACTACCCTCCTGTCTAGTCAGAGAGGCCTTTGAAGGACCATGGCCAACACCAGGTGGGGTCCCTCCCAGAGCACTCTGCATTTCCTCACACACACGTGAGGGGGCAAGGAGAGACCTTGCCAGGGTGGGAACTGAGTCATCTGTTTTCACTTTCTCTCCTGGACAGGCCCGAGATGGTTTTTCCTGAAACTCAACGAATTTGTCTATTGAGAAGGCCCCAGATACACAGGTAGATGAGTGTGGAATGGGTGAGGTCTGAGCCCTTTTCAACTTAATGAGACCCATTGGCTTGAGGACCTTGAGGGGCAGGCCCCACCTGTGCTTCACCCAAAACTTTGTAATATGTGCTTCTAGCACTTTTTGAATGTTAGTATTAAGAAAGACCACCCCAAAAGACGCGTTCATGCAGGGTTCCCAATCCTTCAAAATTCCCAGATTTTTGGTTTCTATGTGAGTGTCAGCCTTGGCAGAACAGTGGCTGACATCAAGCCAGCGTCCATGGACACTCATCAGGCTCTTGCTCCTCTGTCCCAACTTGCTGCCCAAGTGGCCTTTTAGCGTGTTTTCTAGATTTTTGTCTAAGTTCCTCAGTAAATCACTTCCAGAGTCCCTTCTCAAAAGCATCACGTCACTTTCTGACTCCTCAGAGTCTACCCTCTGAAATGTCACTAGGGAGCTTTCTGAACCCCTGGAGAGATCTTTTGGGACCTTCCCTGTGACGTGGCTTAGCTGGAGCCCCACGTTCTGTGTATCGTTGCTGCTTTCACCTGTGTGTGAAGAGGGCTGTGAGGACTCATGCTTGTCCTCTGCCTGACATGTGTCTGGTAATTCGCTCTGCTGTTGCCCTGGTTTGGGAGGTTCTTGGATCTTGGGGGACAGCTCCCAGCTGTGTTGCATATGCCAGTTTTGCAGATGTGGCTCCAGTTGCTTCCGGGGCTCAGGATTGATAGGAAAATTCTCAGGAAGGATGCTGTCCTTGGGACAGTTGGAAGTGAAGACACTGAAGACTTCCTGAGACCTTTTGACTACAGAGGTTAAATCCCACCCGCTTTCTACTTGCTTCTGCAATGAGGGCCTTTCCGGATGTGGAGTCTCAATTGGGATTAAAAATTGTGTCTCATTCTGGGCTGTCGGGCATGACACTCCACAGCTTCCAATCTGAGGTGGAGAAGAAGGTGGTAGGGCTGGTAGAGAGCATCGGGGCTGGACCTGAGCCAGAGGTGGGGGTGGTAATTGAGGCACGGTTGGAAGCAAAGGTGGAGATGGGAAAGCCAAGGGAGACATGGACTGGGGATGGGAAAGCAGTGGAGAGACTGTGGCCTGCAGTTGAACTGGGGAGGGAGAAGCCAACCGAGGTGTGTGTGCACATGAGCTCTTCGGGACGGGGCCCAATGCCAGTGCCACTGAGTCACACTGGGGAAGAGTCAGAGTGGACGCTGGTGGTGGTGAGGCAGAGGAGGCTGTGGGACGTGGAGGGTGAGCCCCTGAATCAGGGGGAAGTGAAGGGGAACAGGAAAGTGCAAGTGGCTGGGGTGAAAGGTCATCCAGCAAAAGAAAAGGCTCTGGTGTCCGAGAGGCACTCGGGGGTGAGTGGGAATGAAGGGGGACAGAGCAGGTGGTCGGTCCTGGTGACAAGGTGGAGGCCGGAGGTAACGGGCACTCAGTCACAGGAGCCAGAGAGGCCGAGGGGCACATGGTGGGAGCAGCATCTTCCACAGGCGCCTCACAGGGCCCGTTGGCTCCAGCAGGCGCAGCTTCGCAGACCTCACCAGAGGGGTCTTGACAGGAGCGCTGACCAAAGCCGCCCTGTTCAGGGGGCCTCCCCAGGTGGCTGCAGGAGATGGAGGCACAGGCTGCAGCCAGGCGGGCGGGCAGGCCGGCGGGGGTGTGTGCCTCCAGGGTCCTTCACGGTCCTGACACTGACTTCCCAGTGCTCTTGCTATCCCTCACCCCAGAGCCATGGCCACACCCTGTCCCATGGCCCCTCCCAGGTCAGTCCAGGCGGCCTAAGGTGACATCATAGGTTCGGGGGAAGAGGACCAGGAGAGAAGGGGAAGATTCTTTACCTTCCGAGAAGATTAATTAGGCCCCGAGTCTTTTCCAGGTCTTGCAGGCACTCTCTGCAGGCTGGAAATCAGGAGGCTGGGTCACATGGTGGAGCAGGGCCAGCAGGCTGAGTGCCTTGGGCCTTTAAGAGTGACACCCTGGAGAGCTGACTCAGGAGCCCAAGCATCAGGGTCAAGGCCACATGACCCCTGACAGTGATGGAAGGCTCAGCACAGGTAGTGCTTTGTCATTTACAAAGTGTTTCCATCCACTACCCCCTGCGCTCCCCCTCGCCCCCCCTCCCCTATGTCCCTGTGGGGAGAAAGGGCAGGGGCACCAGGGAGGGATCTGAGCAAAGGTAAACGGCACGCCCACAGCTGGACCTGGGATCCTGCTCCCAGTCGGGTACTACTGGTCCACAACAGCCCAGGGCCCTCCTGGGACCCCTGCTAGGGAACCACCCAGGCCCAGGCCCCGAGGCTTCATTCCCAGCACAGGATCCGGGAAGCATCTGCCTTCTGCCTCCTTCCAGGACCCACCGAGGCCCTGCTTCCTGAGAGACAGCTCTGCCGCTGGCATCCTTAGACCTGCCTGGTCCCAGGGACAGTGCAGATGGAGGCAAAGTCTCAGGCAGCCTGAGTGAGGGCAGAAGCTCACCTTTCAAAGCTGCACTTTTCCTCCTGCTCCTGCTCCTGCTGCTCCTGCTCCTCCTGGGCTCCACTGAACGCTGAGACAAGAAAAACGGGGGGCTGGGACCCCATCTCACTCTCCTTTGTAGACAAGCGGCAGACGCTCAGGGTTCGTGAACAGTATGACTCTCTACAGTTACCTACCGGGTTCTCTGCTTCTTCCCCCTTTGCTTATTATTATTTTCTAGTGTCAGAGTTTCTTTAATGCTGAAGTATTCTGTGGAGTCTTAGCTTTATTGTTTCTTCTCCAAAAGTATTGAGAAATTCATGGTTCAGTGAGTATTTATGATAGAAATAAAACCATGTTGATTTAAAGCTGGCCTTTTGCTTAGTTTTAAGGTGGGTAAAACATTTTGTTTTCTTCTTTGAAGAATGGAAAAAAGAATTTTCTATGTGAGATGCACCAATGAATTCTTTGATCACTGCTTTTCCACTCAAGAAACACACACACATCCCCAGACCTGCAGGCTGCCTGGAGCTCCCTCAGGTGGGACTGTGCTCCCTGAGGCCACAGCCCACCCTAACCCTAGCTGAGTGGCCCCTAGGGGCTCCCTCAGGCCACTGTCCTCTGATCAGCGCCACAGAGGGGAGGCTCCCCAGAGACACCTGCCCAGGAAGGTGGTGGGGAACCAGAGCTCTGGGCCTGTCCCCATGGAGGCCCGGCCCTTAGCATTCAGTCCTTGGCCACTGCTCACTGTGTTTGGGGCCGCGCCCTAAGCCCCACAACACCTGGCCTCCTGGTGGGACATCTCTGCATAGAAATCCTCCCCAGCTCTAACCCTCCTGCCTGGCTGGTTCCCAGCAGGATGCGGCTCTATCCTTTCCTGAGAGCAGCTTCTTTCTCCTCCCATCACAGGAGACTCCATAGGACATTCAGAAAAGTGGGAATAAGAATAGAAAAAAGAGCCCTAACCAGCTTGGCTCAATGGATAGAGCATTGGCCTGCGGACTCAAGGGTCCCAGGTTCATTTCCAGTCAAGGGCATGTACATTGGTTACTGGCACATCCACAGTGGTGGGGAGGGGGTGGTGGTGCAGGTCTCATTGATGTTTCTAACTCTCTCCCTCACCCATCCTCTCTGTAAAAAAAATCGATAAAATATATATATTTAAAATAAAAAGAATAGAAAAAAGGTAATCTCCGTTGGGCCTGGGCCAAGAGATCCTCACCTTCCTGGTGTTTCCATGTTCCCTCCGGGGTGCTGAGGGTCCATCACTCTCGGAGTGGCGGACGAACACAAGGAAGAGCAGCGCTCCACACACAATGCCAAGGATGACATCCATCATCCAGCAAGGACTGGAGCGCTGCCAGGTAGCAATGGCGCTTTTCAGAGGACAGAGAAGGTTCTCCATGATCTGAATCGCACTGCTGCCCTCAGGCAACTGAGCACTGCCAGTGCCCTAGGGGGCAGAATCCCAGGCTGCATCACAGAGCTGTGACCTTGTCACAAAGCTTCCTGAGGGTGGGGGAGGGACAATAAGAGGAGGAAGCCCATCCCCCACCACCCAGCCCCACATCTCCCTGTGTCCTTCTGGACCCTCTAGATCTCTCCTTCCAGCTCTTCTCTCCTCCTGCCAGAGAGACCTTAGTCAGTTTCCTATTAGTTTCATCTGGAAAGTTCCCTTTGTCCCTAAGAGATCTTGACTTGAGGCTCACCAGTTTCATAAACCTTGAAAATCTGAACTTGAACCCGAAATTGTGGCTATTTCCCAGGGATTTTTATTTTATTTCTTTTGTGCTCAACTCCAGCTTCTGCACATCATGTTTTTGTCTTGTTTAAACGCAGGCTCAGAACTTTTGCATTTACTTTGTTTTGTGAATTTTGAGTAGTGTTTCTTTTGACAATCAAAGCAACCTACACACAAAAAAGTTAAAATTTGTTATTCATGATGTATAAATCTAAGTATTAAAGAGTTATATGTAGGTAAACCTTTAAATAATAGTCTTATAAATTTGTGGGATCCCTTAACACGATCCGCCTGGTTCAGGGCCCACTAATGATCCGGTTTCTGGAGAAGGCCGCACACTAAAATGAAGAGAGAGACTGGAAAAGAGTTAATTTGGGAAAATGGGGGCCAGGCGGTAAGTCCACCTCTAGTGGAAAGACTAACCCTTCTCTGGCTTTTTACCATTCCTTTTATTGAGATTCTGAACAAAGATATCTCTTAAGGAGGAAGTTCCAACAGCAGAAAATCAAATTACATTTAAATATGATTAAGAAATTAAAGTTGCCTCAGGGACCACTATCTCTACTAGACAATGAGTTAATGGCTCTGACCCTTCAGAGCCATCAAGGTCTGCTAGCTCTTTTTCTATTTTATCTCCTGTGACAATGTTAGGTTTTGGTTCCCTGTTCCTGGTTCCCTGCATAAATTTACAGCATTTATAATTCTGAGTTAGTAAAGCTTTAAATTGCACAAAGACTTTTGGGACTGGTTTGGTGGTGGTGTACTTCTTTAGCTTTTTTCTAATCTGTGAAGCTTTTTATCTGCCCTTCAATTCTGAATGATAATTTTGCTGGGTAGAGTAATCTTGGTTGTAGGTTCTTGCTATTCATCACTTTGAATATTTCTTGCCACTCCCGTCTGGCCTGCTTGGTTTCTGTTGAGAAATCAGCTGATAGTCCTATGGGTGCTCCCTTATAGGTAACTGTTTATCTCTTGCTGCTTGTAAGATTATCTCTTTGTCTTTTGCTCTTGGCATTTAAATTATGATGTGTCTTGGTGTGGTCCTCTTTGGATTCCTTTTGTTTGGGGTTCTGTACGCTTCCTGGACTTGTAAGTCTATTACTTTTATGAGGTGGGGGAAGTTTTTGGTCATTATTTCTTCAAATGGGTTTTCAGTGTCTTGCTTTCTCCTTCTTCTGGCTCCCCCATGATTCTGATGTGGGTATGCTTGAAGTTGTCCCAGAAGCTTCTTACACTATCTTCAACTTTCTGGATTCTCTTCTCTTCTTGCTTCTGTGGAGGAGTGCCCCTTTCCTCTTTGTGCCCCTTTCCAGAACTTTGACTTGTTTCTTGCATTCTTCTAGTCTGCTGTTGGGTCTCTGTATAATATTTTTTATTTTAATCAATGTATGTTTAATTTCTAGTTGGTCCTTTTTCATATCCTCAAGGGTCTTGTTAAATTTATCAGCCTTTTCTAGGAAATTCTTGAAAAAAATTATAACCGTGGTTTTGAACTCTATAGCTAGTCTATTGTTCTGCTCCATTTCTTTTGTTTGAAATCTGTTTCCTTTTAATGCTTTTGAATATCCTTATAATCATTACTTTAAGTTCTCTGATAAATTGCTCACCTCTACTCCATTTAGCCCTTTTCCTGGAGTATTCTTTTGTTCCTCATTTGGGGTCTGTTCATTTGTCTCTGCATTTTGGCTGCCTGTTTGCATTTGTTTCTATGTATTCGGTAGGTCTGCTATGACCCCCAGTCTTGGTGGGGTAGCCTTATGCAGTGGGTGGCCTGTGGGACTCAGTGGTGCATCTCCCTGATCACTACCACTGGGTGCTCTAAGAATATCCCTTGTGTGTGCTGTGTGGGTGCACCTGTGGTAATTGAATCTTGATTTCTATTGGCCTGTTCACGTGAGAGCTCGACTCTCAGGCTGGTTGATAGTGAGCTCAATCCCCCAACACAGTATGCCAGCTGCTGTGTAAATGCTGATGATACGAAGTGGAATTTACCTCAGCTGGGTTTGGTGCCTGCTGAGATCTCCCTGTGGATATGCTGCTTGTGCGGCTTCTTGGGTCCAGCTCCATTTTTGTGTGAAACTGGCCACTGGGTGTATTGTTTCTGGGCCTCTTGGATGGACTCTTGTATAAGCCAATGTCAGACACTGTGTGTTTGGCCCCCAGCAATCTGTTTGAGGCTCTCAATGACCCACAAATTGTGGCTCTTTCTGCGGGGCCTGGGTGTGATACAAAGGTCCAAACTCTGCACCAAAGTCTGCTTTTACTAGCTTTGGCAAAAGAGCAGAGGAGGCAAAGGCTCAAAGCGCACAGGGATCTGCCTCTGTCTACAGGCTGTTTGTTAGTTTCAGTCACTTAATGAGCCTCTGACTGTAGAGCTCAGCTTTACATAACTTCCACAGGGTGGGGCAAGAGGGATTCCAATAGAAGGGGCTATTGCTTTCCCCCAGGGTAAAGCAGCATGGATGGGAAAGGTCATCCTGAGAAATATGTGTGAGAATGACTCAACACAGGGATCCAGGCAGCTATCCTCTCCTCTCTCTCCTCAAAGCTACCAAATCTAGACTCTCCTCATACAGCTCTAGTCTACTCTGCCCTCCCTCTGCCAGAGCCCAAGGTGAGTGGCCACAAATGAAATTTTGTGCATTGACCCTTTAAGAGGGTGCCTGAATTATACTAGCTATCTCTCCCTGTTGAGCAGAAACTCTGCTGCTTTTCACAGCCAGATGTTCTGTGGACACCTTTCCTGGTTCTGGTGCTCTAGATGGGGAATCCAACTTTGGATTTAGAGCCCAGATTCGTCAAGGGGAAACTTCCTACAGTTGAGATCTCCTTCTGGAACTTCAGCTGCTGCCTATGGGAGTCTGGCCAGCCCTCTTACCCCTCTGCACTTCCAACCAGTCTCCATGTGGCCTCCTCTTTAAGTCTTTGGCTATAAGGCTTCTCTTCAATTAGTCTTCAGTTGGTTATTCAGGATGAATTTTCTATATTTTAGTTGTAATTCCAGTTTGGTCTGGGAGAAGGTCAGTGTAGCTTCTACCAAATCTGTTCCCATTTTGGAAACTCAGAAAATATTTTAAAGCACTACTTTCGTATCTTTTTTTTAAATTACTGATTATATATATCACCTGATCTCACTCATTTGTGGAATATAATGAACAACATAAACCCATGAACAAAAATAGAATGATGCTTCTAGAGACATAGAAGCATCGAACAGACTATCTAACTATTTATAAGGGAAGACAGGGGTAAAGGGGTGGGGGTAAGAGATCATCCAAAATTTGTTAATTTGCATACATATTAACAAAATCAATGGACACAGACAGAGGGCTTGTGCTTGGGGGAGGAGATGGAGCGGGAGAGGTCAATGGGGGAAAAGGAGACTCATGCAATACTTTAAACAATAGAGAGTTTTGAAAAAGAAAGAAAACTGATAAACAAAATTAGAATGTTCATCAACTGAAAGAGACTGGCACAGTGGGTTAAACAACAATCATGTGCTATCTAAATGGAACTTCAAACACACAGTATAGACCGGTTAAAACATAGGATAAAAGAAGGTGCATCATGTAAGCACTAATCAAATACAGCGGGAGTGACTGTATGAATACAGGCTTAGGTAGACTTCAAAGTAAGGAGAGTTGCAGCCACGGAGGGCCAGTTCACCTGGAGGACATTATGGTCTTCAATGTATACACATCAAATAACAGATTCAAATAGGAGAACAGAAAATTGAAAGGAGAAATGAACAAATCAACAATTCAGGACATAGATATCTTTCTGTTAAAGATAGAATACCTAGACCCAAAATCAGTAAGAACTTAACACCATCAAACAACAGAACCTAATCAACATTTACAGAACATTCCACCTAGCAGTAACAAAGTACATACTCTTTACAAGTGCTCTCAGAAACATATACCAAGAAGACATATCCTGGGCTGTAAAACAACACAACACAAAATAAAAATTTGTTTACTGTAACAAACTTTGAAAAGTTGAAATCATACAAAAGTGTATTCTCTGACCACAATGAAGTCAATATGAGGAATTTCACAGAAAAGTCTCTAAACACTTAGAAAAGAAATAACACACTAGAAGAAATGATCCATGAATCAAAAAAGCCAACTTTCAAGGGTAATAAAAACATACATGAAAAGGAAATGCAATATATCAAACTGAGAAGCAGCTAGAGGAGCCCCGAGAGTAAAACCGATAGCACTCGAGAAGTGTATATGCTAGAAACAGAAAATGTCTTAAGTCATCTAAGCTTCCACCGTAAGAACCTTACCAAAAGCTTCCTTACGAACCTACAAAAATAAGAGCGAAATCAAGTGAACAAATGGAAGGAAATAATAATTATAAAGGCAGAAATCAATAAAATTGAAAAAATTAAAATGGAGAAAAAAGATGCTTCTTAGATAACAAAATTGACAAACATTAAGCAAGACTAAGAAAAGAGGTTAGACACAAATTACCAGCGCCAAGAATTTAAAAAGGGATATTACTCAACTCTAGCCATCAGAAAATTTCAATGAAATGAATGTATTTCTTAAAAAACAAAAAGTACCTTAACTTGCCTGATACAGAATAGATAACTTGAACAGCCCTAAAACTTTAAGGAAGTCCAATTTGTAATTTAAAAACTCCCACAGAAGAGCCCT